CTATCGTAAGACTGTTAGTGTGTACAATGAATGATCTCTTACACGATAGTTATAGTTTAAACGTTGAAGACTGTTAGTATGTATAATGAATGATCTCTTACCAACGTTTAAACTATAACTATCGTGTAAGAGATCATTCATTATACACACTAACAGTCTTCAACGTTTAAACTATAACTATCGTGTAAGAGATCATTCATTGTACACACTAACAGTGTAGACCGTAACTGTTTGACAATATTCAACGATTCATATAAACCAGGTTACAGCTGGTTGATAACAGTACGACTATATCAAATGGTAAAGTGAGGTGAAAAATGATTTTATCACGTGACAGAGTGAGGTAAAGACGTCATATACAACATGTTACAACTTGTCCACAGTGTGACTGTATCACGTGGCAGGATAAATATACCAAATAAATCAATGTACACTTGATCAACAGTATGACTGCATAACGTAGCTGGATGTGATAAAGATATCGTATAACACATGAAACATTTCGTAAACTGTGCGACTGTATCACATGACAGCCTGAAATATCGTATAAAACATGTTTTTACATTTCGTAAACTGTGCGACTGTATCACATGACAGCCTGAAATATCGTATAAAACATGTTTTTACATTTCGTAAACTGTGCAACTGTATCACATGACAGCCTGAAATATCGTATAAAACATGTTTTTACATTTCGTAAACTGTGCGACTGTATCACATGACAGCCTGAAATATCGTATAAAACATGTTTTTATCGGGCAAGCAATACAAGGAAGTAATTAATATATTTCAACTTATCGTGAAACACTTATAAAAAATCAAACACATTGATGGAATCCGTGTAACTTGTAATGGTTAAAACTGTTACTTTAGTGTAACTGTTATACGTTACTTACCTTTTCATAACCCCCGAGTTTCTGTACACACGTATAAAACAAAAACAGGTCAACTGTAAAAAAAAAAGAGATATAATTAGTTCATAAACATCATCGTCCTCCTTGAAAAAGATGTTCTAATATCGGTAGAGAAAACGGGAAATCTACCATAAAATTCTTTATTTTATTTCCTGAGAAGAAGATTTGTAAAAATACATTGAATCAACAACGTCTACTTTTATATCTCTTAGGAAAAACCATAAAGAAAATACTCGAAGTTTCTGAACGAAAGAATAAGTGGTCAAAACCGACAGAAATGGTGACTTGAGTTTGAAGCTAAAATGTGTTCAGATGTTTCATTTGGAAACTCTTGGTATTATGATTAAAAGTTATTTAACATGAAACAATACAAACAATTATTGTGGAGAACAACACGTAATAAATTCACTGTTAAACGAAAATGTAAATACTATATAGGAATAATAACTCATTGTTTAATAATAAACTGCACTCTATGTTACACGTAATTACACTGTTCAATAATGAACTATGCACTTGAATATGTAATTACACTGTTTAATAATAAACTGCACTCTTTAATACGTAATTACAATGTTTAATAATGAACTGCGCTCTTGAATATGTAATTACACTGTTTAATAATAAACTGCACTCTTTAATACGTAATTACAATGTTTAATAATGAACTGCGCTCTTGAATATGTAATTACACTGTTTAATAATAAACTGCACTCTTTAATACGTAATTGCACTGTTTAATAATGAACTGAACTCTTTAATACGTAATTACACTGTTTAATAATGAACTATGCTCTTGATTATGTAATTACACTGTTTAATAATAAACTGCACTCTTTAATACGTAATTACACTGTTTAATGAACTGCGCTCTTGAATATGTAATTACACTGTTTAATAATAAACTGCACTCTTTAATACGTAATTACACTGTTTAATAATGAACTGCGCTCTTGAATATGTAATTACACTGTTTAATAACAAACTGCACTATTTAATACGTAATTACACTGTTTAATAATGAACTGAACTCTTTAATACGTAATTATACAGTTTAATAACCATCTAAACTCTTTAATACGTAATTACACTTTTTAATAATCAACTGCACTCTTTAAAACGTGATTTCACTGTTTAATAATTAACTGCACTCTATAATACGTACTTACATTGTTTAATAATCAACTGCTCTTGTTAATACGTAGTAACACTGTTTGATAATAAACTGTACTTTTAATACGTAATTATACTGTTTAATAATAAACTGCACTCTTTTATATGTAATAAGAATAAAATAATAAAAATAATAATAAAATGCGCTCTTTAATACGCAATTAAATTGTTTGATAATTAACTGCGCTCTTTAATACGTAATTACACTGTTTAATAATCAACTGCATTCTTTAATACGTAATTATACTGTTTAATAATCAACTGCACTCTTTAATACGTAATTACACTGTTTAATAATAAAATGCACTCTTTAATACGTAATTACACTGTTTAATAATTACCTGCACTCTTTAATACGTAATCATACTGTTTAATAATCAACTGCACTCTTTAATACGTAATTAAACTGTTTAATAATAAAATGCGCTCTTTAATACGTAATTACACTGTTTTAATCAACTGCGCTCTTTAATACGTAAATACACTGTTTAATAATCAACTGAACTCTTTAATACGTAATTATAATGTTTAATAATAAAATGCGCTCTATAATACGTAACTACATTTTTTAATAATCAACTGTACTCTTTAATACGTAATTTCACTGTTTAATAATTACTTGCACTCTTTAATACCTAATTATACTGTTTAATAATCAACTGAACTCTTTAATACGTAATTACACTGTTTAATAATAAAATGCGCTCTTTAATACGTAATTACACTGTTTCATAATCAACTGCGCTGTTTAATACGTAATTACACTGTTTATAAATCAACTGAACTCTTTAATACGTAATTATAATGTTTAATAATAAAATGCGCTCTTTAATACGTAATTACACTGTTTAATAATAAAATGCGCTCTTTAATACGTAGTTACATTGTTTATTAATCAACTGCACTCTTTAATACATAATTACACTGTTTAATAATCAACTGCACTCTTTAATACGTAATTATACTGTATAATAATCAACTGCACTCTTTAATATGTAATAATAATAAAATAATAAAAATTATAATAAAATG